CAGAACTAGACCCGTACCTGTAAGGTGCGTGGCGTTACGCGCGTGCTTCAAAGTGCAGATCAGACCGCCTTAGATCGAGATGGCTCAGTGGGACAGATGCCCGACCACTATGAATAACCTAGTGGGTCACCGGGGCTTCGGCTTGAAGCAGAATTAGGAACGTGTTGGTTTTTAGCCAGTAAGAGTCCCCCAGGTGGAAAACGCAATGCATGATTTTTACCCTCAAAAAAAATACAGGCGCGTCATATCAAATTGATTTAGACATTGTCCGCAGAGATTTAGTTAATATCTGTTCCGACACGCAATTCGTCATAAAAAAACTGTGATATCAATGCAAATAATGCGTTAGAACCTTATGTGTCGAAAACAGTTACTGCTTCGAAAAGTATTACACATGAACCCATTGTCCCCAATCAAGGACGGCATTTTTTTTAATACTTCTAAATATATTTTTTGAATTTTTTTTGCTGATATTAGTTTGTGGGCGTCATATCATTGAGTTAATAAAGTTTTTTTTATTAAATTATGTGTAGTTTGCATTTGGTCCCAAATGGGTTAACTCGCTCGATACTGTTACGATACGAATGCGATAGTTATTCGTGCTTAGCCCTCTGTTCTCGGGTTTCGATTCACTACGGATTATGCACTCGGATTTTTGTATCGGTAAATAGTCACTCGGATCACGACTGCAGTGCATACGAATGCCTTCTGAAAGCGTGTTTGTTTGTTCAAAGGGAAATACGAAAAGGAGTTAAATATCTTTTACTGACTTACCTTACAATGTCTAGCAAAACGTGAGTTATACGAGATTTTCACTTGTATTTTAATAGCGTTTGCTTGCAATGCGTTTGACTCGAAGATCTTGAATATAAAATGCATTGAGAATGAACTTCGATCTATCGTCTAACAGTTTGCCTGGCTAGTATTAACACATCTCAACTGTGTGGGTCAAACGATATTGTAGTTACATATTTTTTTCTATTTTTTCCTTAGCTCGTACTTACAAATTTTATCTTTAACTTATTATACACAGTGAAATCTATTTCGTTTTTGTTCCGTGTTGGAGTATGAGAGTAGGAACTGTCAATGTTTCAAGTAAAAACAAAAAAATAAAGGTGCAATTTTTTTTACTTAAAAAAAGTCATGGAAATACGCACATGAAACACTAGATATAAATTCGTACGCACTATTCGCATCGCACGTTCCACACGACCAGAAATACCTCTTTGAGAATTACATGATGTGATGTATTGATTATGGACTATGAGTTCGTATGCGCTTTCAAAGTTTGATTTGAAATGCAATGGTTCACCAGTTATTTTTGGTTTTAAACATTTTATTTTATTTATATTACCAAGACAACCATTTTACCTTGGGCCGAACGAAATAGACTTCAGTGTGTATTACATAATATAGATTCAAGTTACATTCTTAAGCTCATACGTGTATTTTAATTATACAAAACTGGGTTTGAAACTGCAAGAAACATTAAAATATTCAATTGAAGGAACCTAGTTGGTCACTTTTAGATGTTAAAAGGCTCTTTGGATGCTTTCAAAACTTAATTCGTAAGAAACGGAGACTTTTAAAATTAGTTTACTTTTTCCAGGTAAATTGTGCACATTTGAGTAGGAATTTTAAAGCAGTACTTAGTTTCAATTTAAGTTTAAAAGTATCCTGCGGTAACATAATTGTGACTAAGTCTTTTGTCCTCCTGCAGTATATTAACTAACTACGATATTTTAAGAGAACTTAAATATTTCATTTAAAATAATCATTATAAGCAAGCTTTATATAAAATGCTTGGTCGTCTAATTAAAATGACATTGTGTGTGAGAGTGTAACTTAATTCTACTTTAAAGTATATTACAATTACATATTCGGCAATAAGTACCATGTCATTACATACTTATAAAATCTGTACATTCTATTAAATAATATTATTATATTAATCTACAATTCTACTTATAATATCATATTTTATTTACAATATAGATACATTCCTCGTAACATTTTTCATACAAAACTTATCTTCAATCGTTTTATAAAACCCTTTAATAGAAAATTAATTTCATTGTTAATCTTCATTAAATCAAGCTCAAAGTTGGTAACTTAATTCATCAATATTAATTGTGAACAGTAATTTTCATCCCTTTGATCCAACACCTTGCCATTATCCTAGAGTGATTATTAAACACTGTTTTCGAATCCTTAAACTAACATTAAATAATTGTGACTAAGATATAATTAATCAAATAACAAAATGCGGTTAAATCAAGTCAGTGGTTTAATTACATTTACAATATTTACGACAGTTTTAATCCATGGAAACTTTTGTACCTATAAATCCATTTTGTTTTAGGACTTTTCTTTTGTAATTCGCTTGACGAGGAAACAAGAAATAATCAGTACTAAAACATCTTGTACATGTAATATTAAAACGGTAAGTGAAACAATCAGAATAAAGGATGTATTGAACACAATGGACGTGTTGCGTAAAATAATATTTAGGTTAGGTTTTCTGTCGACATTTATACGTTATATTAATTTGTAAAAAAGTCTTCTTAACCTCCACGTTTTCTATGCAATACTTGACTAGTTACCACTTACAATGTCTAACACATATTACAGCAGCAAACGTTTATAACGCTGCGGCGTCAGTTTCGTCGTGCGAGTGTCTATGCGTAGAGGTCGTGCGGGGTGCGAGGCACGCGCGGGCCGCGGCTCTCTCGTCATATCCACGTGCGCTCCGTGGCGTGCGGCGCGTGCGGGCCGTGCGCGTCACACGCGTCGTGCGAGCCGCCCGCGCCGCCCGCGCCGCCCGCGCCGCCCGCGCCGCCCGCGCCGCGCCGCTGTCAGGCTGTGCTCACCAGCGTCTGGTTGTAAGTGCTATGCATCGAAATTCGGATAGTGCCTGCGGAAAATTTACCACAATCAGTAACCATAATTTCAGACTCCACTAACAACAGTAACAATCAATGACTACTATTCAGAAACAGTAAAATGGTAATAGTCGCTGTTGTAGACAATGAAGAAGCCGCTGGATCATTTGAAACATCTAAGGAAGAAAGCTATGGGAAAGCAAAAGAAAGATAAAAGGGTATGATGAACCGAAAGAAAAGAGCTTAACTACTGACGTATTCAAAGCTATCACGAGTGTGTCATGTTAGTTCGTTCTATAACATCGATAAGGTCAGACAAAAATAACTGAACTTGGCTCCTCAGTATTTCTTACTTGTGTATTTTATTTGCATGGAGCAAGTGGGGAGAGCCAGGAGGTGGGTTTTTGATGAATTTTGTCGTCTTGAATAAACCTATGAAGAAGAAATTCCTTTCCATGAATTGAACTCATTATTTGTTGAACATTAAACCATTCTAGCTAGAGAAAGATATGGAGAAAAGTTGTATCGTGTCGACAGGGAGAATATTGATAATTTATTGAATGTGTTCAATGATTGTAGAAGACAATGACATCGTAATGGTTCCGTAATATGCTTTTGATCAGATAAAATGGATTATGTCATGAGCATGGTAATAGTTAAACGTATTAAAAATGTAATAAATACATCCATGTTTCGAGGTGGTCGAAAAATGAATTACCAATCGAACCAAAATATCTATGATAAGCATCTACTGCAAACTATTGTCTAAAAATGACTAAATAATGGGGTTTCATCAGCTTACTGGTACCATTCTTCCTGCTAGGAGATAAGGATCGCACCGATCTGTCGAGCCGCTCTGTCCCGAATCCCCTGCGCCTGTCCAACCCAACTCCACCAAATGCGCCGCAACACCAGAAGAATTGCTTAAATCCTCTTCTAAACCTGTGCAGAAGAATATTAATAAAATCTAGTTATATGTTTTTGGATATATCATATTCATAAGCAGCATTCGCAACGTTTGAGCTGTGCTGCGGAATACTGCTCATGAATATGAGCCTCTAGTATGGCTTGAAACTAGTCGACACATAATAATTAATTTACCTCTAGTATGTCTCACGAAAGTTATAATATAAAAATCTTGTTAAGTTATGACTAATTAAATCAATGACGAAATATAAAATTAAGCGCTGGTATTTTATAATAAAATCTTCTCAGAAAATGTAATAGGGTAAAAATAATGAGTAGTAACTTGGTATTTCCAGTACTAGTTACCTGGACCGTGATATTAGGTTGATTTATTTTCAGACCAGCAGTTTTTTCTTCGTAAGTTATGACGGAATATAGCAAAAAAGGTAATAAAAGTAAAACCAATAAAGTTTCCTCCAATAACTTGGGAGTTCACAAGGCGTTTATTCACGGTTCAAGTATTATAATCATTCTTACGCAATAAAAGTTTTACACTTCCGAAAACTTACTTGGAGTTCATCCAGCAGTAAATGATGGGATTGTACATGGAGTTACTCATGGCAAGCCAGTAGATGCCCAGGTATATCTCTTGGATGTGAGGATAGTTGACCACGTCTGGGTAGTATGACGTCACCAGAAAGTAGACGTGGAACGGCAGCCAGCAGACGGCGAATATCACCACGACTACGATCATCATTTTTACAACCTGTTATAGAAACATATTGTTTGAAATTGCACACTCATATTTGTGTTTTAGGAAACAAGCAAGGTGAACGAATACACGCATGAAATAGTTATTCAATACACGTCATAAAATATTCCAACTTGTTGCCAAGTTTGTTTACGCACAGGCATAAACAAATCATTTGAAACTGTTGCAAGTTTAGGCGGGCACATATTGGCAAGGGAAGGTCACGAACCCGAGGGAAATCAATTTCTTTAAAAAGGTTCCCGTACGAACAATACGAAATCCATTATTAAGAAAGGAAGACAATAGATTAAAGATAAGATGTTTAATTTACTTGGGATGTAATATTTCAATACGGTTTTAAGTAAGTGCTGGGGCCGCGAAAAGCGGTCGTCGAAACCGCTTAGGAGTTTTGGAGAGGTTTTATTAAAACGACGATGGAAATGTTTATCCAAGATATTTTAATAAGCTTTGAGAGTTTTCAACTCTAGGATTGTGTAGAAATGTGACAGTATACCTACATAGGTTATGTTGCCTTTCAATAAGTTTTAAGTGCCATATATGTATCTTAAATCTGTATTGTTACAAAAGTATTGGTCTAGGTATGTATAACATTGTTACTAAGTTCTCCGAGTATCTCTCAATAAACTTTCCTTACTTTCTTTAGACAGCAAATTATTATATTTACATATCAAACGCATGTAAATATCGGCGTGAAATGAGTTCGCACTGTATCGTGTGATTCGTTAGCATAGACAAGATTGCTTTTATTGAATTCCCATATATTTGAAACAAAGCCAGCTTTGTTGTAAAATGAGATTTTTATATCATTACGAAATGTTCACGGTAATTTACAACGAGGAAGTCGGTTTTGAGCAGTCAATTCATTTTTCTATTTACATAGGCACTGTGTACACAATTTTTAGTCAAGTAATCTGTTTTACGTATTTTTATGTTTGTATTCCTAGTAAAGATATCCAGGAAAAATGATTATTTAATAGGGTTAAGGGCCTTACCAATATATATAGAAAAATTATTGAGGTAAGTGTTAACAAGAATAAGAAACTAAATTTTCTAACTTGAAAATCTAGCAATAAAATTTTTACAACACGATTAAATTATATCATTATGGACAGGCTACATACCCTCCGTTTACTTTTGACGTTGTCCAGTTGTCTTTGTGTGCATTCCCCGATGGACTGGGAGCCCCATAGCTCGATGCCCACCCTGGAGTATGTGTACGTCATCGACATGATGGGTAAGAAGTACGTGAGCACCATGAACGCCACATTGTACCTGTGTAGTTTTAGATTGTATTAGAAAAAGTATAAACTTGATTATCATAATTATTAGTCCCAAGACGATCACTGCTGAATATACGTCTTCCTCCCCCAATGACGTCCACCTAATCATATTTTTTATTTATTACAAATACTGATGACTGCTTCGTTGGCCAGTCGTACTCTCACTCCCGAGTCCGGCAAAGCATCAATGTTTTTTTTTTTAAATAGGGATGATGACAGGGTATGTAAATTAAAAATCTAATTAGTCCGTCAGTTAGGTAATTAAAAAATATTAGACACGTATTTTTTTATTTTGTCGAAAACAATACTTACATAAAACGAATCAAAGTTTAGGAGTGGGAGGTAGCTACGTCATTTTAGAGTATAAATCGTACTCAAAGTGACGTCATGCGATATTTGAAATCATAATTATATCTTCAAAACTATTCGTTTCCGTAAGAAGTAAAAAATACGTGTCTAATGTTTTTAAATAATCTACCAGACGGACATTAAAATAAAAATTAGTCATCTACCCTAGTAGCATGGAGATGTGCCCGGTATATGCATTAGGCTTACCACCCCTTATAACATGAGACTCATAACATAAATAGTGATAAGTGGGTGTTACATTGTACAGTGGAATTAAGTACCGTAATCTGCCCCTCTGCCTACTCCTTCGGGGATAAAAGACATGATGTCATGTTAAATACTGATGCATTACACGTTTTTTGTTCTAAAAATTTATTTTAGCACAACAATTTAAAGTGAATTTGAATTAACATAGCAGTTTTCTTAAATTAAAAGGATTTCGTAGCCATTATCAAATAAAATACAGAAACGCAGATAGTATATGAAGACTACGTACCAGTATTCGAGCTGAGACTGCGTAGTCATACCGTCGGGCCATTCAGAGAAACACACCCGTCTGTAAAACACAGCATTAAAGTCGACGAACTGTCTCACAATTTACAGCATTTCAGATAATAGTTTTTGCAAGTGCCGCCCATTTTGGCCGTAATTCAGCGACAGACAGTTTAATTGTGAATTTTGCTAAAAGCTTTCAAGGAAGTTCTTTTGTGTTATCAAGTTGAAACACTCAAACTTTTCACTTGTGAATTTGAATCGTGTCGAACAATTTATGATTGGCACCAATTCAACTTATAGATTTCTTTCAAAATTGCCCTGCTTCGTAGCAATCCTGTTTCCAAAATGATACGCTTGACAGACTTTCGTTGTGAATTCAAAAAGTTTGCAAAACAATCCAGACGCTATTTGAGGGGCTTCAGATTTTCAATGTGTTAGTTATTATAATAGGTAACTTGATTTGTAGACGTAGGCTTACTTTTATGCTTTATTCAAAGGAGGTGTGTTGTTTATCAAAGAAAGTAACAAACAAAAAATAACATATAATACCTTATTGATCCGTCAGGTAGGTAGTCCATTTCTGTGGTGAAGTAGATCAGGTTAGGAGCGCTGAGGATTGAGCTCCACACCCAGATAGCGGCGGTGATGCCTAAAGTTGCTCGCTTGCCAAGTCTCGGTTGAAGTGGACTCATGATGGCCACGTATCTGCAGGAAGGAAGGAAGGTTCTATATACATACATAAATACATAATTTCTCGCCTGTCTCCCATAGGGGAGGCAGATGCAGAGCGGACTATGGAACGCCCATTGCTACAATTCTCATATACCCCTTTCGCTTCAGTCATCAGTCTTTTTATACATGCTCGTTGGTTAAGGGTACTTCTAATTTATAATAGGTACATATAGAACACAATATAGTAGAGACCCACTAATAACCGTGCAAAAATAGGGTGCGTCCTTAGTAAATAAGGGACAAGTTTGTCATATCTGTAAAATTTAAAACAAGGTATGTAGGGTTGCTATAACTTATTTGATAGCCTCAAGGTAATGAGGTCAGGATGGCGTTGAAACCCCTAGAGATATCTGAAGTAATAATTTTTAATACTTGATCCTAACGACTAGGATGAGGAAATAAATCTTTTCTATAGCTGTTTTATGATTCGGGATGCATATAAAATAACGCTGTCTCAGTGTGCATGCAGGTTTAGTTCCGAAACTAGCTTTGGTTCTGTGCTGTTGAGGTAGGTATATTTTAGCTACAAGTTTAGATTTAAATGTACCTATTGTATGCACTCATATGTATGAATGTGAAGTGAAATCTCGCAACTAAATTTTGAGGCAGATATCTTCAATCGATTAAGCTGAAATTTTGAATACACGTATAGTCTGCATGACCATAAATACTTAATTGCTTGTGCAAGATCTAGGTATACCTTAGGTGTATCTATTTTAATCTTATTGCTATTATTGCATCGCTTGGTAAAACATTAAAGACTTTTTTATTTGAATAGTAGTGATAAGTGAGGAAGGCGAGGTGCGGTGACAAGGACGGGGCCGCTAAAAGCCACAGCGATGAATATACCTAGTTAATGGATTTCCTACGTTAGAGCTTATTCATTGAAAATAGGTGTATCAGTTCAGTGCTGTCTATGGCTTTCATACTTGTTAGCTTCATAAATTTTCTGCTAGGTTATCGGTTGACACAATATTGGAGGAAAGAAATAAGTAAGTATTACATTCTTATATTTATTTCGCCTCTTATCTCCGAGGGGATAGGCAGAGGTGTACATGTTCTATGACACACCCACTTTTAACTATTTATGTTATGAGTCCCTTGTAATAGGGGGTGAGCCTACTGCCATATGCCGGGCACAATTCCAGACTTCCGTGTTACCACTGTTTTTTTTTAAAACCCATTAATACTTTGTACGACCGGGGAATCGAACCCGACAGTCGCACTTGCGACCACTCGGCCAACGAGACAGTTAGGCAGAGGCAGGGCAACAGAGCAGTTATTTAGTTAGTAGGCTTCAAATTCAGAAATAACATTGATATATCTTTTGTACAGTGTAAATGTTTTTACGGCATAAGCCGGTAAACGAGCAGACGGATCACCTGATGGTAAGCAATCGGCGTCTCCTATGCCCCAACACCTGGAACACCAGCGGCGTTACAAGTGCGTTACCGGCCTTTTGGGGATTAAGAGTTTGAGGATCGGTGGGGATTCAGGGATTGGGGAGATTGGGGAAGGGGAGGGTAATTGGGCCTCCGGCCTCGTGTTTTGAAGATAACTTCGCAGAACGCAAATTAAATTGCTGCATGCTTGTAACGCAGAATAAAATGAAACGAAATGTGAAATGAATTCTAATTAGTAATATTCTAAAATGCTTACCAATACAGAGAAACGTCTATAAAGGTGCATATTTCACTAATTTTTGTAAATTGTTCGCAAAACTAAACTCTACCTATATCTTGTACATTCGTCCAATTTGTGGATTTTACACCAACACATGACGTGATGATTTTTATGTAAATACCCATGAAAATGGCTAAATTAAATTTCTTTTCTTTGACGATTTTCCTACGAGGAAAAAATCGAGTAACATATTTTCGTGTTACACATGAATTCCTTTCAAAAGGGGGAAATATTATTCATATCAAATATCAATTTATTAGGAAAAGTTGAATTCGTAGAAGTGAATGTTGGAATTCGTAGAATGACTAACTAATAATTGGAGCTGCTGACTGATTATTCTACTTTCACGTTTTCATTACATTTTTGTTATAAAAAAAACTGTAATCATTTATCAATTTCATAATTCATGTACACACAAACAACACATATGTTTCGAGTACGTAGGCGCTACTTATTCCTGTTGGAATTTCTTCCAGTAGGTCTAACACAGGAAATGTAATTAAAACATAAGACATATTGTGTAGCAGAAGGGAAAGAAATGCTGACATTTAAGTGCTACAATTACCTACTTCTTTTTATCAGCTGGGTTGTAAGTTTACTGCTTTAAATCTTAAAAAATCAACCATACGGATAGTCAAAAGCTTTCAGTGAAAATGTCAATATTTAGATTCAACTACTGATACTAGGTTTTTTCATTTACAGAATGACTTTACTTGGAAATTAATAACCGATCTACAAATATCTGACTGCCCCGTTGGCCGAGTGGTCGCAAGTACGACTGCCGGGCAAGGGGTCTCGGGTTATATAACGGGGTTTTCAAAAATTTTCAGCATTAGTACGGAGTCTGGAATTGTGACCGGTATATGGCAATAGGCTCACCCCCTATTACATGGGATTCATAACGTAAATAGTGAAAAGTGGGGGTTACATGGTACAGTGGCATTATGTGTCGTAATGTGCACTTCTGCGTACCCTTTAGGGGATAAAAGGCGTGATGTTATGCTACATTTTTGACAGAAGTCCATACAACTATTGTTAAAAATCGATCTTACTCCAAAGATTTTGGATTGCGATAAATGATTAATTTCGGCTATTTGTGAATCCTGTAATCTATTTAAAATTTTGTTACTAAATTTTCTTTCTTCAAAAAATAAATAAAATCAAAGTCGTGACTACTCACCTGTCCATACTGATAGCCAGTAACGTGAACACTGACGCCGATATACTGAGCACAGCGATGAACTGGCAGAACTTGCAATAGAAGTGTCCAAACGGCCAATCAGAGTTCAGCATATATGTGAAGTTGAAGGTCACGTTTAAAGTTGATACCATGGCGTCTGCTACCGACAGGTTCACTGGGGAAGAAAATTTCTGATTAGCCGCTACATTTTGTAGAAGAATCGCTTTTGGCACGGGTATGATAATACGGCACTTCGTTGGGTGATAGATCGCCTTATATAACAATATCCGAGCCCTTTTTACATAGTATTTATGATGTACCTAAGTGGTGTAAAGTCGATGTTACATTGTATTTGTGTCTATGCGTACATAATCTTAATACTCCAAGAATTAAAAGAAGTAATATTGATAAACAAAAAGTTATCAGCGCATCAATGCGTCAAGCGTGATTTTGCACTGTTCTCAGTATATACATACAGTATGGGAATATGTATCAGATACATTGTATAACATACTTTTTTAAAAAGAGTAACGAATGGAGTTTCTTGCTCGTTCTTCTCCATTCGAATCTATATTTTGGAATGAGCACCTAGCTTCACCTAGCTTCGCTGACGGACTGATTGACAGACTATTATTTATTTTGTATTTTTTGACGTTTCAAAAGTACCAAATTATGTTTTAATTGAAATAAATGCATTGGCTTTGACTTTGACTTTGAAGTATAATGTAAAGAAATTTAATACGCAAACTTCTACATAATATTAGTTAAATCTCTTCGCTGTGACGTTGCCTTCGTTTTATTTCGAACTAAAAGCCGGAAGGGGCTTCAGTAATTAAAAGCGATGCGGGAGAATGCAGCCTTCACATTTACACATTATGAAAGCGTCGCTGTCGTCGCCCAAATTTTGCATACGACGTTTTAAATGAAGTTGTCTTCATGTTTTGTTGATTTTTTGTTAAGAAAATGTTGCTGTATATAATTAAAATTACTGTAATTTATATGTTATATTTGGGAATTGGTTGCTGCGCTCACATTTCAATCTTTACACTTTACACTTTAAAAAAGTTACATTTACCTACTCAAATTTAATTTGCTTTCATTTCAGTTGCTTTATTAACTGCAACACACACTTTACACTAAATTTGAGTGCCTTATTCCTATTTATAATTGTAATTTTTTTCCTGATATTTTAACAAAAGCTCGGGGTTTGACATATTCTGAAAGTGTAGAGTACGTACTTCACTTTCTGTCAAGCATCTCGATTTAAAAATTAATTTTAACACTAGCTATCCCATAAATATAAAATGTAAGTATAATAATACTGTCACAATAAAATAATTCCTAATATCTTACCTAAGAAGTAATTGGTGACGCTTCTCATCCGTTTGTTGGCGAGTACTATCCAGATGACGACGAGGTTCCCCACGGTGGCCACCACGACCATGCCGGCGAACAGCACCGTCCATAGCACTTGGCGCCACCATGGCAGGATGAAAGACTGGTAGGCCTGTAGAGAAGTAACTAGCGTTAGACAAAAAAAACAAAATTTTCTTTATATATTGACTGCACGGTTGGCGTGCAGGCTGGGCAATCGGCTGTCGCGCAACTTGTAGCGGGTTGGATTGCCGCACGCAGCAATTCTTAGATTTTCTGAATGAATCACGGAATTTATGAATATTATCCACAAATTGTTGTTTGGGGTCTGGTCGTCATGTGCATGTGAATTTATATATGTTTGTAAACGCACCCACGACACAGGTGAAAATCCTAGTACGGGCCAACGTTAAAAAAAAGTTCAAATGTCTTACCGCATCTGTCTGTCTGTCTCATCTGTCTGTATGCCGGGGTCAGCCCCAATATTTCAAAATTTTCGAAAATTTCAGGGATTTCAATTATGCTTATCATTTCATAGACCCGTTCTCTTTAACAAGGCGAGGAATATGAAGGAATGTCGTGCTGAATACCTACCTACGATTTGGTTAGACCTTTGACGTATATCCTACGATTCACAATAGTACAAATATTTTTCAATTCGCAGTTCTAACTGAGACTACTTAAGACAGTTTGTTTTAATTTTGTTTCAATGGAGCCAATCGTGTGTTTTAGTTTGGTTTTGATTTCAGTGCCTAACGTTATTAAATTTCCTAGCTTCTACCCCAGTACACAGTATGCTTTAGGGTATTTGTCCGAGAACAATAAAAATTTAACAATATAAAACTGGATACGAAAATAAAAGTTTCGTACAAAATATGTTTTTCAGAACGAGTCCTCAATTGAAGTGTTGTTGCTGTATAATTTTGGATCGTATTTACGAAAACATGTAGAAATGATTTTTATAGAGTTTTTACAAAAATCTTAAAGCGCAATATGAAGATATCTCTTTCAATCTACTGAAAGGATATTTGTCAAAAAATGCTCGTAAAAAGCTCTTTTGCCACTTTTCTTCTACCTAACTAACAAGTTTTCATAACTGTTACATGTATGTTTAGTCTGTATTAACATCACTAATTAGTAAGTAGTGGCCCCCTCACTGTAATGTGTTATATAAGGTAGGTCACTCGTCATTAACGCTGCTGTCTACCCGTCATAATCTAGTGTGTGTACACGTCGTGCGCCCTACACATTATTGTAATAAATCCGACTATAATTTGATAATCCACCAACATAACAATAGCCTTTTTTGATTCTCAGTTCTTTTCTTGAAGGTTTGAAGGTCGTGTCGGTTCGGAAATACCGTCGACGACAGATCATTCCACAGTTTTGCTGTGCGAGGCAGAAAGATATGTGATAGGCGCACAGTTGTGGCCTGCCAACCATGAATATGATAGGGATGCATAGGCAGTCGTGAGGGTCGATGGTAACCCTAGATTAATAGTAGAAGAGTGGTTTAAGAGGAAGGACTTTAATGTGTACCTAATTAAAGGGATCGATGCCACGGGCAAAAACTATTGTCTACATAAAAACAGTACTATTCCTTGTTAGAAACATTTGTAAGAATAGAACAAGCAAGAATGTAGTGAGTCGGTTGTTGAAGACACATCTATCTACTCTCTAACACTGCAACGTGTTGCTAATAATTCACTTCAAGTAGCACATTTCTATGTACATACGTTTCAAGTGAATAATGTGGTCTAATATTGTTACAAAGCTTTTGATTTTTAACAAAGAGTAAAGCAGAACTGGTCCTTCAGGAGAACATGTTTAATAGTTTATATTATCAGACTCAAAAGCTCTGAAAAATTAAAAAAAACTGCAAAAGGGGCACTCTTGTAACTGGCCTTTCATAACGAAAGGAATCAAAGTGAATTTGCATTTAGTATATACGCTTCAATTCAGGCGTCAATTTAAAAAAGAACTGATGTGGTTTTACACCATTTATGATAATTAATCAGGTAAAACCATGTCAGTTCCTACCATTTGTGACTGTAATAGAGCATTAAAATTATAAGTAGGTTAAATTATCTGAGTCTCTTAATCAAACAGCTTAAAAACAGTCCACAGTTGAACAAAATCTTGGACATCATGGACATAGGTTACATAAAATTTAGAGAACACCGCTACAGTTTGGTAGCTGGTCACAGACCTACTCATACTTTATATTTTCTTAATGAAAAATCTACCCTGAACATAGGTGCTATAGAATACTTTTCAAAATAAACCGCTCTTCACGGCAAGCTTTTCATCACTTGACGCGTCAGCATAGATAAGAAGAGGTAGATAAGAGTTGATTGCTGTCTCTTAAGTACGCGACATTTGAAAGATAAAGCTCAGCTTGGGTAGGGTGCATTGTATGTACCTACATATAGGTACAGGCTTTTTGTATTTGAAAATCATAAGTGAAAATTTTCATAGATTGAAAAGTTTAGTTTCAGACTATACCCTTTTAGGCACTGAGATAATAAGCAAGCCTATTTATTACCCAACATCGATTAACGTTCTTTTTTTGCTTCTATGACTGACATCTTAGGATTTGCAAAACATTAATTCTATGTCCAATTTTGGGAACGACCTTGAAACTAACTTGGGGGTCATAGTTCAGCTATTTTACTGTAATCAAGAGTACGGTTATAAAAGCTTTCGTAACGTAGATTATAAACTTGAATATTAACCTGGGATCATAGAAAAAATGTAGGGTCGTGCAGCAGGCGATTACCCATCCACCAAGGTGTAGGAATGAAGTAGTTTTATTCAGTAAGAGTCCGACACTCTCTGGTCTAACCCAAGGTAGGAGAAGACATTGAATGATTGAACACCCCTCCTCAAAAATAAAAACCAATCCACCAACAATGTGCACTACATTAATGATTGAAAGAATTAGGTACTTTATTTCTCTTACCTCAGTGCCATTTTGGCTTTGGTTGATATATTTGTTGTTGTGTTCATCAAAGAAAGTGACGTAGAAGGTGTGGTCGTGGCCTGGAACCGTAGTCTTGTTGGTCGCTAGCGTGGGCACCAAGTCGTCCAGCATCGTAGCATGGGGCCCTGCCTGTGGACAAAGGAGAAATTGGTTTGTAGTTACGTTATTATCAACTGATACATACTGATGCCTATGATAGTCCTCTGCTGGGCCATGGACCTCCTCTACAAAAAAGAGGTCTGCTATAACCTCCATAAACATATTCTACTCTGTGGTGATCACACCATCACTTTAAATTATAAATTTTAAATCTGCGGTTACAAATTTTGCACATAAATAAGCTATTTGTATCGGCACAGTGAAATAACAATCGACAATTTATTATTGAACACAAAAGCCACTTCATTATGGACCATGCAAACAATTTAGATAATGTATATGAACTATGTATAAAAATAATTATATTATTATTTATTTATTTGGTTCCCATTATTTACATAATGGAATTAATAGACAATAGATACTGGGTATTTGTACACCTGGTGCGGTCAATTTGTATTTTAAAGTAAATGGCAAAGGTTTTAATTTTGAGTGTACCTAAAAGGATTTTGTTAAACAAACAGGTAAAAGAAACAAAGGTTAAAGTCTCTGGTTTAGTTTGAATAACATTTTATTAAAGGGGCATTTTAAAGTAGATCCTCTTTAATGTAAACACGTGTAGGGTTATCGTTCTACGTTCCTAAAACTAGGTTTATGAACCGTTCCAAACTATCAAAACACTAATTAACTGTTTGCTTTAAATTTGTAAAAACTTTTTTAACAAGACTTTATTCTTTCTCTCTTCTCTTGTTTCGAAGTTACTTGTCTTTGCTTTCGACCTTTTTTTAATTAATTCCAATATTAATTTGAATTGTGGCACTAATGGTCAAGGAGAAAAGAAGGACTATGGCAAAACATCTGACATTTGTATCGCGTCTCAACTTTTGTTCCAGCAAAATTCTTAGAGACACAACCTGAGCGTTTCAAATAATTTATCAACCTCAGAAAGAAACTACAATATCCAAGACCCTATGTTACAATATAAAAACAGGTTTTACGTCGGGTCAGCGTCTGACCGCCTGGCGTAGACGTTTAATAAATAAATGGACAAAGAGAACAGCCTATTATCTATACACTAGAGACAGATATCTATCGAGTCTATGCGACCCTCGATACTATCGATATTCCGGATTGAGTAGGATTGGCTTTAGAATTTAACCAAACCTTTTAGGGCGGTAACACCCTGTATTGCAATTTATATGTTAATCACGTCAATTTTGAACACATTGATATATTACATTTTAGTTAATCAATCAAGGAAATTAATGATAAGAATTTGACACGTATACGTACTTACTTACATACGCCTAATCAATTAAAAGTAATGACACAAAGTAAATTATGTTTCATGAAAGGGCGAGACTGTTTCCAAAAAACTAGTTGCCTACATTTCTAGACTTCCATTACTAAGAATTTCGTAATCGAAAAAATATCTAGATTGAACTTAGGATCTAGAATTAGATCGCATTTACGAACATTCCACCAGAGAGACAGTAATGAAAGTAAATTATATTTCCATCAAATCATCTTCTTGTTTCAATAAAACTGTTGAGTTATATCTGTCAACACTCGTCGGAATATAAATATGAATAGTTTAAAATATAACAATGATTGATATTAATTTGACGAAAAATATTTATGCTTTATGTTATCCGGTAGCTGTTGAAAATGTTTGACAAGGATATCATATCAAAATTAGACGTTACGTGCTTGTAGTCAGGTCACGAATGTGTTTTCAAACACATGGTGTCTATCGTCTACACGTTCTTTATATTCTAGGTTTTAGAGATGTTAAGCGACAATTCGTTTATATTTTTTTCAATTTATAAACTCTTGCTCTGTCAAACATTCGTAATTGAGACGATGACAGGGTATGACAATTAAAAATATAATTAGTCCGTAAGTTAGGTAATGGAAAAATATTAGATACGTACTTTTTTATTTTGTCGTATAACAAAACAATACTTAGTTAAAACGAATCAAAGTTTAGGAGTGGGGGCTAAAACGTCATTTCTACGTAATAAAACGTACATAGAAGTGACGTCACGCGACATTTGAAATCAATATATCGTCGAAAGTATTCGTTTCTGCAAGAAAATAAAAAATACGTGTCTAATGATTTAAAATAATCTACCAGACGGATATTAAAATAAAAATAAGGCATCTATCCTATTGAAACCAAGAATTCAGAAACTGACGCCTATTGTCCACGACGCGTCATTTAACGAAAGCACGTGTCCGTCAAGCGACAGAAGGTGGCCTACAAATTACGACAAATACTTACATCTTGCTTAGAAACAATGAAAACTGTCAACGAAGCGGCAACATTAAATCTGCCTATCGATGCGTTCGTCAAATGACGCGTCGTGGATAGTGGACCTTATTATTAGCTTATCAACCAGTTGCGTGTTTTCATAGAAAAATGAACGACCTATTTCATGCCTAAATCACAATGCCAAATGACTACTTATTACTTTGTAATGTTCCTCTTGCATGTACGATTTAGTTCTTACTAGTAATTCGTAATACCAGCTATTATTTGATCGATTTTGGTATCTTTTATATAAATCTGATTGAGGTCATAGCACCAATCTAGGCTTTTATGTCGTAAATTGGTTTTGCTTCTGTTTCGAATTATTGCTAGTTTTTGTGTCTAACGAATGTAATTGAAATCAATGTGTTGTTCTTAATCGGGTAGAAATGCCTAAACATTTATGTCAGTTTAACGCAATTTTAGACCTTATTTTATCTGCTGTAGATAAATATTAAAATGTGGACGATCATTTCAAGAAAATTACCTATTCATATTTATAGATTTCTTCTGGATTATTTCACAAATTTCGTTCTTTATCTCGTTTTTGGTTTTAAATTGTTTCCAAAGTTTTTCCTCCAACGGGAAGCTAATTAATAGTCTCACTTACCACAGAATAAATTTAATTGGGGGATGAATATTTTTTCAGCATCCCTCTGACCTCTAATTAAATCTTAATTAGAAGGTAATTTCGGCGGTCCTTATTAATGATTCAAAGGTTAATGAATCAAAGGATTTTTGCCACAAGTGTGGCTGCGTAAATGTTGCTTTATTTTGATTAGATATTTTTTAAGGAAATAGGGCTAAGAAGTGAAATTGTTTGCTGGAAGCTGGTATTAGGTGAGTGTTGCGTTAAAACTGATAATACTGACTTTTGATAACTATAAGTTATTTTAAAATTTTAAAAACTTTCTTTTATTAATTTATTTAAGACATCAAAAGCATGAAATATGTGCTGTATTGTGTACCTTAAAATTTCTTTCTAAATATAAAACTAAACCGATAGCTTTTGGAATTAGTTATGAAAATAATTTATAATGTAACGTTTAAGACTGACTGCCTTCTAACTAGAAGTCCCACGCTATACTCTGGCTAATTCCATTTTTTCGTTAAACAAACGAAGGTTTGTGTGTAGATTACCTAATGGAAGAAATTTAAGCCGGTAATGAAATAGTTGGGCGTGCCGCGTCCTAACACCGGCCACCGCTGTCATGTCAACACATCCCAACACCAACGATTTAGTTATTAGGAGACCGGGAAGTCTATTTTTGTTCGTGTTTATTTTACTAGCGGTATTTTTTTAGTGAACTTTCAAAATATCTATCGTCAAATGTCTGACGATAAACATTGCTATTTTTAATTCTTTGACACGTGTCTCATTGCGTCAATTTCAGCTATAGCATCTAGTTTTAAAGAGAACTAGCTAATTGGGGTTATTTTTGTTGAAGTTTGTAAAATGAAAAATATGATTATTATTATTTATCCAGTCTCAAATCGAATGTAAATGAAAACAGTGCTCCACGTGTAAACGACCGTCATATTAATTCGACAATTAATAACGTCAGATATTTTGTTAAACTGAAACAGCGTAGTGTTACAAAGCAAAATAAAATAAGATACCAAAATTGGGCAACTTCAAATTAAAGATTTGATAACAAAGTTTAGCGCTCTGTCACTTAGCTGTCACTCAAGTCCTTTATTTAACAGTTCATTACTGTTTCAGAAAACAACGTCTAGCCAATTTGATTAAATACAAAATTCAACATTTACTGACAAATATCTAACATCATTTTTCGAAAATTCATTGTTTCATAATCACCATCAACATCATTATCATCATCAACGTCATCATTATCAATCAGAAGCTCCCATTAATGTATTAAGACTTCCCTTGAAAGCCTTTCTGGGATTTGCCTACGCTTGGTAAGCCTACCATAAATTTTATCCTAATTGGGATCTCTAATTAGTAAAACACTAATATTTTTAAATGATATTGCTGCCAGACCTTGATGGCTAGTCGTGATCTTTCTGAACATGGAATGAGATTAAATAGCTCTTTTGTAATGACGAAAAATCATCAAATGACTCCTCCTGCCCAGGGTGTCAGTCTTTTGGTGACTTAAAGCCATCCTGTTCCAACTCCTGTTCCGAGCTGTGGCATCAGTACATTTTGGCAACTGCTGAATATACTTAGAAGTAATGAATGAATGGAACAACCCTTTGGGTATCTTTCTATTGTAGATACCCCTCACCAAAGATAAACTTCCATCATTACTGACAAATATCCCAGCTCATTCTCCCAAAAATCACCACTTTCCTTTCCATATTCCCGTAAAATGACACACAGCTGTCTCATTTTTCAATCTCAGATAGCTATCCGACTAAATGATTTCCTGAAAGCGTTAGAATGTCGCGAAGATATATTTTTATCTGCCCTTTTCAGGGTGATAGAGCGATGTAATTTATTAAGCCTGTATTAACTGGAGAACAGTTTCCTTTCGCAGATTTTGCTATGTCGATGATAGTTTGAATTGGCGTTTGTAAAAGATTATTTCGTTATAAGTTTTAAATAAGACGAGAGAATTTTTAAAGAGAAAATTATTTTAATGATATTTTTTAAAGAAAAGTAACTTTCATTGATGATTAACGTCATTTTTGTGAACGCGCTTAACTATAGTTCTGTCACAACAATTTCTTTGTAAAATGACAGAGATGGCAC